CAAGTTCCTTGATGTGTCAAGAAAGATAATGGTAATACATAGCAGATCCTTGTAGATTTAGAGAACTTAGACATTACGGATAAAAAGACAAGTGAAGCATCTTTAAGGGTTAGTTTAACATGAGCAAGTCTTAATGGTAGCTTAGGGGCCAGAGCTTCATAAAATCATTGTTCGTTTATCATGAGAGGGAACCATCAAATTTTCTACAAAAGAATCAATAACAGAAACATAAGTAAGTATGGAAAAACAGTAGATTTGCAGAGCAGCTCTGTTCTTTCTTAAACTTAGCAATCTACCAGTAGGCAATTAGTAGCAGCAAGAAATTAATTCTACAAAAGAATCAATAACAGCAGGAGGAGGAGAAAAATTGAAATTGTAATTCGAATCAGTAATAGTAATACAATTAGATTGGAGGAACGAAAGAAGAAACGCTCGTCTTCCATGTCTGATATATAACAGTCTAATAAACATTTTTTCAATATTTTACGCTTTAGTCCTCTAAGTTATTTATTTATATAAACAAGTCCCATCTATTAATTACTATTACCAGACGGTCCCTATATTTTTTCCCGGACTGGATTAATTTTTTCACTATTTATTATTTAATCAAAATAATTTTTTTCATAATTAATGGTTACTTTTTCTATTTTTATAAACATTCATTGACTATTACTACTACTGATTCGAATTACGATCTAAATAAAACATTGATTGTAATTTTATGTATTTTGTTAAAATAAATAAATAAATTTATGTATTTTCTACTTTTTCAATATGATTAAGCACTTCCTTCAAATTTGATTTTTTTTAACTAAATAAATAATTTTATGTATTTTTTATTTATCAAAATAAAAAATATTCATAATATATATATATTTTAATTCAATTATATATATTAAATTAAATATTTTTTTACAATGAGTGTTAATTAATTTTTATTTTACGTTTATATTTTTAAATTATTTAAAATATTAAAATATTGATATAATAGACTTACCCGCGCGTATTGGAGGATAAATGAATATATTCGAAATGTGAGAAATCTTGTGCCAATCTTCCCCCGTCTCCCTTTCACACTTTTTTACCAGCAGAGGAGATCCATGGATTGTGAGATGAGAAAGGGAGGAGGGTAACCCCTCTTCTGGCATGGACTGGAGCTCTGGGCAATCATAAATACGTAATTTTCTTAGAGAGGTGAGTTGTTGAATCCCGTCATTCAGAGCTTTCAGATTTTTAAGACCTAATATCGTAAGACATGTAATAGTGGAGGGCAGCATGGAGTCCTCTGGGAAGGATTCCACTTCTTCATTCTTCAAAATTGCAAGTTCTGAAAGAGAAGGGAGTGATTGCAAATTCCATTGCATGCGGCCTGCAATCAGTTTGTTGCAATTACTTACGCAAAGGGATTGCAATTTTGAGGGCAATCCCCCTTCTGGAAACGACTCTACTTCTGGAAGTTCCTTCAACAACAAATCCTCAAGGGAAGGAAGGAGGAAATGCATACGCTCAGGCAACCACTTCAATTTCGTGCATTTACACAGCACAAGCTTCCTCAAATTTGGGGCAGATAAAGGAAAATCTACGATATTAGGGCAATTGTAGAAAGACAACTCACTCAGATATGTGAAATTCCCGATAGGTCTTTTGTGTACACAAAAGGATTTCGGATTTTTACCGACATCAATTTCTTCTGAGGAAGCGGAACGACCAACACTCTTAACTCCCATCCAATCAGGAATCGTAGTACCCCCATAACATTCAATCTGGAGAGATTTCATATCTGCATGAGGCTCTAATTTCTCAAGCACGTCTCTTTCATGCTGTGATTCATCAGTATCACCCTTCCATATCAATTCCAATTCCTCAAGCTGCTTCTTATCCTTCAAATTGACTTCTGCAGCATCTTGAGCATCCACAACATTTTGAAGATTCGAAATACAAAGCCTTCCCTGTAGATGTTGAAGCTTTCCTAACTCTTTAATGCTTGAACCACTCTGTTTTCCGATGAAGAAATCAGTCAATATTTGGAGCTTTGTAAGTTTACCCATGCCTGAAGGCATCTCCAACAACTTTGTCATTTGTATATCAAGATGACACAAGTTGATTAGCCTTCCCATACCAGTTGGCAGCTCAAGGAGACCAAAGCACTCTCTCACGATTAATGTTTGCAAATTATACAAGTCACTCACAGATTCTGGTAACCTTCTGATTTTGGCCAAGGTAAGACTCAAATATTGTAAACGCTTCAAATTGCCAATTGAATCGGGCAACTCAATAAGCTCGGTGCAATATTCCAATATTAATGTTTGCAAATTATACAAACAACCTATAGATTCAGGTAACCGTTTGATTGTTGTGTCTGAGAGATTTGCATACCGTAAATTCTTCAAATTGCCAATTGAATCAGGCAACTCAACAAGCTCTCTACAGTGTTCCAAGATTAATGATTGCAAATTGTATGCAATACCTACAACCTCAGGCAACTCTTTTATCGATGTCCACGCAAGATTTAGATACCGCAAATGCTTTAACTTTCCCATTGAATCAGATAGCTCAGCTACACTGGAATAGCCAGGCAAGGATAGCACTCGTAGCCGTTTGAGTCTTGGTAGTAAATTGTCTATTAGCTTATCTTCATATAGGTTGCCTTGCCGCCATCCTGGCAATAGTAAGAAAGTGCGCAAAAGTTCAGCTTCATAGATTTCTGCAAATTTTTGAGAGGCGTCATAGTTTGTCTGTACATATGAAAAATGACGAGCCTTTTCTGCAATCTTGTTTGAATCATCATCCTCCAGTAAGAAACAAAATTCTCCGGATACAAATTTGGCTAAATCATGCATAAGGTCGTGCATAACAAACAATGATGGACCATCACTTGAATATCGTTGAAAAAAAGATCTGGATTCAAGATCATGAAGCCACTCATCACCTACATCTTCTATCACCTCCTCTCCTTTAGGTGGGACAAGAAAACCCTCTGCCATCCATAAACGGATTAATTCATCCTTATTAAATCGAAAGTCTTTGGGAAATATCGAACAATAAGCAAAGCACTGCTTGAGTTTGGACGGGAGATAATAGTAGCTCAGTGTTAGAGCTGGAAGGACAGGATCTTTAGGCGAATTCCACAAGTCGCTCTTCAGCACTTTCTCCCATTCTTTTGCATCTCTTTTGGAGCGCAGGAGACCTCCAAGTGCTTTCGCAGCTAAAGGTAGGCCATCGCATTTTCTTACTATTTTTCTGCCAATTTCTTCCAAGCCTGTATAAGCACCAGAACTCCCATCATCAAATGCCTGTTTTGCAAACACCAACCAGCAATCGTCTTCCATTAATTTCTTTACACGATGGATTGCAACAGTAGATTTGAGTAAGGCTACAGCATCATTGCGTGTTGTAACTATAATCTTACTCCCCTCTCTGACAGACTTGAAAGGTATCAATAAAGATTCCCACGCTTCTTTGTTCTCACTCCAAACATCATCTAATACAACCAAAACCTTTACCCCTGCTGTTTTATTCTCCAGCTCACAATGAAGCTGATTTGCAGTCATGGCCTCGCAAGTAGTTGAACTGTCTGGACTGACTTCCTTCAGAATGTCTTTTATTAATTTGAGAACATCGAATTCCTCTGAAACACAGACCCATGCCTTGAGATCAAACCGCTCCTGCACTCTGCTATCATTATAGATAAGTTGAGCAAGAGTGGTTTTACCCACCCCACCCATACCCACTATGGGGATCACATCTAGTTGCTTGCCATTTTCATCTTCAGAAAGCACCAACTTCATTATGGCTTCCTTTTCACCTTCTCTACCATAAACAGCTGGTTCATCCAACAGAGAAGTTGTTGGCAGTTTTTTTGCTCCTGATGTTTTTTCTCCCATGCCATCTCTCAGTCCAAGAGCATCCTTCTGTTGTATTAAATCATCAAGTCTCTCCAGAACCTCCTCTAACTTACCTTCCATCTCTGCCTTCTCCCTCTCAAATGGATTATGAGAAGATAAAAATTCCAGTACCTGATTTGTGCTGGTCTGAGAGCCAGCCACCTTCAGTCGCTGAGCTTCATAAGCAACCTCGTCCAAAAAGTCATCGGCTTCATAAACAGCATCTTTAAGCTCGTCAAGCCACTCTCTTACAAAAGAGTCTGTGATCTGCTTTGATTCAGCATCGTTGAGCACTTTATTAACAGTAATCATCCGCATCTTCAGCTTCTTAGGCAGCTTATCGTTGAGTTTTTGGCTTTTGAAGAAGTTGAGAATCTGGCGAGAAGCCAGTCTATCGAACAAAACCTGTAGGGTTGCGGACAGAAAAGCTCCTCCTACCAACTCAGCAGCCATGATTTGGTTTGCACTGTTTCCAAAACGGTGTAGATGTCAAAAGGAGAGAACTAGTGAAGGAAAAGAAAGAAGGCAGAGAAGATCAAGAAGAAGAAGAGAAAAGCAAAATTATGTTCTGTTTTCAGAAGGGTGCGAGTGTCAAATACAGATCTGGTGAAGGATAAACAAATACGGAAAGGTAAAGAAGATGAACAGAAACTGAGGAGTTTCGCTTTATCTTGCTGTTTTCATTTTCACAAATCTTGTGGTCTGGTCTCTATTAAATTATTACCTCACTCGTACAGTTCCATGGCATTATTGTATTTCTTGCTGTCTTGCCAAAGTTTATTCCATTCACATGCTCTTTTTAAAAAGTGGGTTGATTACTTTTGTCTAGTGCTCCAAATCCTTTATTATTTTGCTTTTCCTCTTTCTACCATAGAGCTATGAAAAGGAAAGGAAAGAAAAGAATCAGCACCATAGCAACAAAAAAGAGCCAACTACATGAAGCGTTTCTTTGATGAGTTTCTCAACTTAATACAACATAGTCTTCCTCCAAAAATGTGGAAACCACAAGAAATTGATGTCAAGCATAAAACTTGTTCATGATATGGAAGGAATTTGAGATGAATTGTACAGCTTAATAAAAGAGAAGGGGAAGAAAATGAATTGGAACGTTAAAAATCACAATGAAGAAACCAATGGCTGCGTGGAACTAGACTTTGATGCCATGAAGTTCACCGATTGCAAAGTGGGGTAGCAATAGGCACTTTTGGCATTCTCACAATTCACTTTCAGTTGACCAAACTTGTTATCTAGTTCATCATGTTCAACCGCATCCTGACCATAAAAAAGAAATGCATTTAGGGAGAAAATAAGATTCAGCATAAATAGCTCAATTTGAAAGCTCCTCCACCATGTAATAACTATATGGAGTTATGCCTAAACAACTGATGCGAATCACGTAAACTAGTTTGACATGGAAAACCGTAAAGTCCAAAGAAGCTTAGGAGCAGGGCAAAACACTTGGCAGAAAAACCACTGGAGTTGCATAGATTCAATGCTTTTATGAAGAGAGGGTAAAGCAAGAAAAGAGTACCAGACAACTGCAGCGTACAGCCAGTATAATTAATGATGGAATGCAGGAAATATGAAGTACACAAATACATACCTTAACAGAATAATGGCGAAATGTAGGAAGAAAACGGATCTTGCAGTACTCGTTGAACATTACAGTAAGCACTAACAGTGGAATTGTGGCTATGGAAGCAGAAGGTTTTGACTTCAGCCCAAAAAGACCAATCATAGTGATTTGCATAAGAATGATTCCGACGAATATATAGTGATGAACGTATGGCCAATATTCTCCGCATGTCTCATAAACAGTTTCATAGACATCTTCAATCTGCTAACCACGTTCATAAAAATCCTTGATAAGCAAGTGAAATGACTATATAAACAGGTAGGAAAAACAGTCAAGAGGAAAATGTACATGATTCATAGTTCAGATTTAAAGTAGGGTATTTAACATGGTTTGGGAATTAAAACATTGCTTAATGGAAATAAAACTAGTGCAGAGACTTAACCTGGTTGACATATACCATGTAGCCCAGATAGAAGTAGCCAACAAGAAATGGAAGCAGCAAAGGAGCGACAACTGCATATACCATCCCAATGAGTATTGATAGGGAGACTGAAGGGATGATTCTAAAATAGGGCAATGAATAAAGGTAAGGATTCTCCTCCTTTCCTCCGCCAAATGTGTGCAACTTTACAGCATCCCAAACAAGGAAACCAGGCTGAAGGATTTCCAAAGAAAATCCTGACAGTCCATCAGTTAAGATGTATGTCACAAAAAATCAGCCTGAAACAAAAACAAATTAGTAGTCATGCAGAGGCTACGGGTCCACAAATTCATATTAGCTGAGCCTTTTTTGCATCATATGCCGGGAAAAAAAAAAAGAAGGAAAATAACTATGGTAAATAACATATAAATTCAAGAACAAGTATCAAATGATGCACGAAACAATTTAGGTTAAGGAAACCTAGCTTACTTGAGCAGAGACAGCACTGGCAAGATGACTAGGAATACTCCTAGGGTGGGTAAAATATTCTCCAATTTCATCAATTAGGGATCCTGATATCAAGCTAAAAAAGAATACATTTCCCACAAGAATACAATTTCATAGAATCTGTGAAGTTGTTAAATATGGCCATTTGTTTTCCAGTTCTAATCTGTGGTAAAGTCTAGTTTTTGTCTTTCCTTTGTTTTCTTAAAAGTGGGGTTTTTTCAATAAAACTTTGCAAAACCTTTGAATTCTGAAAATAAATGACAACGGGAATCCACTTGGTCATTAAAGCTGGATGATATCCAAAAATGAGTGTGGCTTGAGGACATTTACCTTTTTTAGATTCACATTAATGCTATATGGAACAATCAAGAATAAAATGAATAAATTTTGATGCTACTTCATTTTCGTGAAATTTTTGTTAGCCTTGAATCTCATAGCCCTCAGAAAATTGCTGTTTTTTTGTCGAGTCTTATATATAACAATTTCATATCTGTACAAATAAGATAGCATGTTGTTATGAGTTGGTAATTCTTGCATTTGCAATCATATAGGCCATTGAAGAATTGAAGTTTATGTATTGCTGACAAAGTTGCATTAGCAGAGTTAGTTTGCAATCATACAGGTCATTTGCAATCACTGTTATTCTCTCCACAGATTTTATCTAAAAATTGTATTTTGAGTTGAACATATGGTGTTCGGAAGTGTTCTTGAGATGTATTACTGAGGCAATTAAATACATTCTACAAATTTCATGTCTGGATTGTTTTCTTGTTCTGTAAATTCTAATTTATATTGGCGGGCAGAGTATGTAGTCTTTCAATGGATGGATGTTGAAGCATTGAAGAAGCTTAACAAAAATAAGAAATTGGTGAAGAAGCTTCCGAAGCAGAAGCATGCCTTTTGGCATCAGAGTACACCAATACTGTTTGGAAAACTGGCGTCAAGGGTGAGCTATCTCCTAACTCATTCATGCCAAAACTTGTGTTTTAAGCATTTGAATGTTTCTCCCCCTTATAATTTTGTCCTAACCATCTTTATTCATTTCCTTAATAATCACCATTTATTCATTTCCTTAAGGTTAGACACTGGAAGTTACCTCAGTCCAGTTGACTATATATAGATAGCAGTCTGCTGCTAAAAAAGCAGTCCAATTGATACATAAACCAATGCAAGTGTTTTGAAAGATGGTGATTTTATTTGGATATCATTTGTGCTGGGATTATTGATTGTTGAGATGACATATAAGGGAATAAGAATAGGAAATCCTACAGGTTGCACAAGTGTTTCCATCCATTTGCTGTTTCCACCTTTAACAAGGTACAATCTTCCCAAAAGTAGAGCCACTGACTGTCCAACAAGGAGAAAGACTGTATAGATTTATATGCGGATCCACCATCTGTAGCTTCTTGTCCGTTGAGCTGTTGAGTGCTGGTTGGTGATACTTGTAGATTGAGGGAAGTGTGTTAGATCTTTAGCTTCTTGATATGATAATAAGAAACAATTATTGGACAATTCAACTACAGTAAGGAATACTATATCATGATTAAGTTGATTTGTCAAAATAAAAGAGATATCATCTTTGTTTGAATTTGGGAGATATGGCAGCTTATAAACTTGTCTAAGCTTGTGGTCCTGCGAATGTTTTTCAATTTATGGGTTAGAAACTATACATGAATTTTCTTTTAATAGATTATTCAAAAACAGAAACCTTAGTTTTTTTTTTTTTTTTGGCAGCAGGAGCAATTGGAGCTAGGAATTATTGGATGAACCTTATCTAAATCATGCAAACTCTGGACAGAGCATGTTGTAGTCTGCATACTCAACTTTTGACCCTTTAGGTGGGAATTCTAAGGTGGGAATTCTACAAATGCAGGGAAAACTAGATCATCCTTGGTTAATCCTACATTACCAATTCCAACAGAGGTATACTCTCCAGTGAAGGTGGATTCATTAATTGACCACTTTAACATGATACTTTTAGATGCAAAATGTATTAAATTGAGTTTCTCTCTCTTAATAACATGACATGCATTAAGTGATATATGTAAAGATAGGGAAAAAGTTACAATTACTATTCAGGATTGTTCTTTTGATCAGATGGAAATGATCCAACAAAACGAGATGATGCCACCATTTTCAATGGAAAATGATGTCAATTGGACACCCAATCAGTTCAATTCTCAAGCACAAGATACATTCCAATTTGAGCTTCTTTTGTACGTCATTTTTAAGCATGTTTTATCAGACGATTGCGCGATTGCAATAAGTTATTCTGCAGTTTTCCTTATTATTCCCAAAAATTAATACTGTTCCTGATTATGGAATTTCATATTGATTAGACAATGTTATGGAATTTAATTTCGTGTAATAGTATATTAGTTCGTATCAATGGTTTTGTTTATTTATTTGATTTATTACGGATACAAATAATATTAGAGATGAAATGTAAGATTGGTAATATTTTTGGTGACAAAATAAAACAAATCATGGAAAACATTTATTGTTCAAAAAATAAAGACAATTAAGAACGGAATATATCATCATAAAATACAAACAATTAGGAATGTATTTTACCATTCCAAAATAAAAGCAATCGGGGAAAAAATTTGTCATTGAAAAAATGCAAGCAATCAACAACGAAATTTATCATTCCAAATTAAAAGCAATCACGACTGAAATTTGTTGTCTAAAAATATTGCAAGCAATTAGGGATGAAATTTTTTGTTTAAAAAAAGTCATTGTGCACGAAATGTTTCGTCACCATTTTATAATTACATTTTGCGATGAATTTTTATCGTCAATAAAAATGTTTTTCCTCTGCTCAATTTTTTCACAGTTGTGGACAAAATGGATTAATTCCGGACGAAAATAGATATATTCTAAGACGAAAATAATTGTCCGTAAATGGTTGACATTCATGGACGAAAGTCAAATTCGTTCGCAATGATTATCCTTTGAGGATGATTTTTACTTTGCGTCCGGAAATACAATTAGCTACTCTGCTTTTGGGACGATTTAACTCGCGTCCTAAAATGTTTTCGTTGATGAATTTCAATTGTTTGGGGACGAATATTTTCGTAGCTACATTTGAAATTTGTTGTAGTGATAATAAAAGAATTCTACTCTTCAAGATAAATAAAATGACGGTGATTTCAACGATTGAGGGGCCAAAATGGTCTTCTCTCTCCCTCCTTTCTTCTCTCACATGTAAGCATTCAAGGACCAAATTGCAATATAAATGAAGATTGGTACTAATTTTTTTAAAAAATGAAGGACCGAAGTGAAAAAGGCTAATAAATAGTAGAATTGAGTGATAGTGAATAATAAAATTGAGTGTTGAGGTATAGTGAAATGCACGAGAGAATGCACACTGAATAAGTTTTTTTTTTAGTGTTTTAGTTAATTATTAAAGTGTACATTAATTATTTTAATAAAATATCAAATATCTATGGAACTTCATGTCTTAAAGTATTAGTTAAATTATATTAAAACTGCAAATTTGGTCTCTAATTTTTTATTTTTTTAATAACCAACTGGTAAATCTTTTTATTTTAGTACCTAACTTTTTATTTTTTTATTTGAGTGTCTACCATTACTTGAAATGAAGATGAATTACCACATGTCAGTTTTTAACTAACAAGTGGCAAAAGTTGGTCCTATATACTGAAAATTTGTAGTTATATTTAACTTAGACTTATTTATAGGATTGTGCTGAATGGATTTGAAGGGTATAGTGGTCATTCTGTAAATATTTGATTTCCTATGAGCTTTGCTTTGACCACCCAATTATTTTACTACTTCTGTCTATAAATTGCTTGTTTGCATGTTGATTTGTTATTTTAGCATTAAGGCATTTTGAGTTTTCATCAAACTCCTATGGACTCTGTTTTTGTGTTGCCCAAATACATGCCCTTTATTCTGCAAATATTTTCTTAACAAATTTGCAATAAATTCCCATACGACTTACTGAAAAAAACTGGTCGTGCTCGTTAGGGCATGAGTTTCTACGCCAATGAATGGGCAATTTCGATTACCTGTATTCTATGCGTGTGAATCAATTAAAACATATCCAATGTTCTACTTGGATTGAGACTTTTGTCCTATTTTTCTTTTTTGACAAGTCATGAGAGAAAGATAAATTTTGTAACGCGGAAATGTATATCAAGTCAGTTAGTCTTTTGAAAGGAGTAGTTTCTGTGGAAAATTAACTCATTTCTCTGCCTGGATTACGTCAGATTGGTTGAGAAGTGAGAAAGTTTGCCTATCTCGAAAACATAAAAACAATAATATCTAAGTCTTTTTTTTTCCAGAAATTTCTCGTCTTGGTTGAGAAGTGAGACTTTTGCCCTATTTTCCTTTTTTGACAAGTCATGAGAGAGAGACAAATTCTGTAACGCGGAAATGTATATCAAGTCTTTTAGTCTTTTGAAAAGTGTGGTTTCTGTTGAAAATTAACTCAGTTCTCTGTCTGGATTCGTTGAGAAATGAGAAAGTTTGTCTGTCTCGAAAAAATAAAAATAAAAACAATAATATCTTAGTCTTTTATGTTTAGAAATTACTAGATTTTTTATCCGTGCTACATGCGAATCAAACAAAATACATAAAATTATTTTATTTTGATATCTCATATTATATTGTGCATATACTAAAATACACATCAAATAAAAAATGAATAAAAATTCGTTCAATCTTATAATTTTTTAATCAAATTTTTATATTTAACTGATTATTTTTTATATTTTCATAAATTTTTTATCATAAAAAGTATTTAATAGGATAAAGAATATCAAAACCAATGGATTTTTAACTAAAAACTTATTTTGTAATTTTTTAAAACATTTTTTTACCTTAAAATTTTTTATTAAAAAATCGGATAAAAAAGGATCAAAGTGATTAAAATGAAACAAAAAAGACCAAAACCAAATAAAAAATATTTACGAATTGAAAAAAATATATTTAAAAAAGAGGAATCAAAATATAATGCTATGAAAACTTTCATAATAATTGTCTTAAAAATATTTAAAAACTACAAAAATACCACTACATAGTAAAAAAATAATGCATCTGAATTTGTGTGAATAGTAAAATGAATCTGAATAAATAATGTTTTAAATAGTGAATGAATAGTGAACTATCATTTTAACTTAGTTTTATTGATATTGATAATGGTAATTTTCTTTTATACCAGAAATTTCTAATATACTCTCTTTATTCTTTTGCCTATGAAAAGGAAAGGAAAGAAAACAACACCTACAAATGTCTCCATGAATTGCAATTTCAAATACCGGAAACAGTCTTTCTCTTGAGCCGGCAGACCTGTCCAAGCGTTGATGGACGGTACGGAATTCTGGAGTCGACGTAGAGAGCTCAGCTATCCCTTCTTTAACAATATGGGTAAACAATAAGCCTCCCAAGGGTATATTTGTAATTTGGTTCAAACAATATAGAATTTTGCTTATCCTGAAGAAATGGAGTAAATTATAAATTAGTCATTTTAGTTTCTAGAAATAATTAACTAATCTTTCTTCTTTTAAAAACTAATTATTTAGTTTTTATGTTTTTAAATCTATAATTAAATTAATCATTTCTATTCTTTTTCAATTTATTTTGATTTTTTATTTTTAAGAAATAGAAAAAAAAGAGTAAAAATATGAAAAGAATAATGAAAAAATAAAATATTTTTTATAAAAAAATAATACTAATTAAGTTAATGACGATAAAAAATTAATTTGTGTAACAATAAGCAATAATTTGAACGAGGACAACCTCAAATGTAGCATCAATTGGCACTTACAGAGAATTAACTTCTACTTGTAACATGAATATTTTCAAGCATTTCTAGATCAAACAAATTCAGTATTTTTTTTTTTTAAGCAAAATAAAATATGATATCATCTTTTCATCATTGATAAGGGAAACTTTTTTAACAATATTTTAACGATTTCATTGTGAATGGATCAACTTTAAAACAGAACGGGCAAAAATCAAAAAAAGAAAAAAGCATTTCTTATAAAAGTCCACAGCATAAAAAATCAAGTAGAAGTTCTCACCATATTTGAGTGTAGGAACAAGGAACTTTTTTTTTTTTTTTTTTAACTTAATTTGGCGCGTTTTGACTGGTAGTCTTGCAGTGGTGCAAGTGCTTGACTGTGCTCTGAAGAGCCTGGGTTTACTTACGTTAGGTCATTTGGGACATGACCAGGATTTGTTTTCCCATCGATATCAAGAAAAGCAACAAAACTGGAGGTTATTATGATTGATAAAAATAATTCAGAAGATAATAATTCAAAAGCCAGCCATGAGAACTTGCTATCCATGAAATTAATATTCAAGATTGTAACATGAGAAAAGAGCCTTTGCATGTGCTCATGGATTTCAATCCTACATAGATATACAACCAACTCCTAAACCGCTTAGGTAATGGCTACGTTCGGGTGATTGCTGTGAGACCAAACTAGATGAAGCAGCACATAATGCAGCAGGCAATGAGTTCCCCTATGCTTGACGATGCAAAGTCTGCCGATGCTTCAGTTTCCAGAGGTCAATACTTAATTGGATGCGAAACCACCACCAATCTGGAAACCTGAAAGAGAAGAAAACCTGAAATAAGTAATTCGATTCTCACATGAGCAGTTGAAAATTTTCCATCATCTAAACTGAAGCAATTCGATCTTAAGCACAGAAACTAAGTCAGGAATATTGTAAAACATCACCAATTTGCTTACAAATGTTTATATCTCATGTTAAGATTTAAACCGAAAGCTATAAAAGCATGTAACAAGCGGAGACAGACAACGAACAACAGGGAGAAACAGGAGATTGGTAACTAGGAAGATTCCGGGAAAGACAGTGATGACAATTTGCGACTTACACAGAAACACGCAGGCAGACAGTAAGCATACTTATTTAAGAATGAAATGATCAATGAAAAGCCTTCATTATCCTGAAAGGCAACCGATTCAGATCATTATCTACTCATACTGCAAATTTCAAATGCATAATAGCAACTGGGACAAATAAGTCTTAAATTCACAGTTTAATTTATACTCTAGACTAAGGATCTACAAATTCCTTGGTGTGTCAGAAAGATAATGCCCATAGCAGATCCTTGTAGATATTACAGATGAAAGACAAGCGAAGCATCTTTACGAGTTAATTTAACATGAGCAAATCTTAATGGTAGCTTAGGAGGCAGAGCTTCATACAATCATTTATTTGAATATCATTAGAGGGAACCATCAAATTTTCCTTGGATGCATAATTCGAAATAATAACAACAGGAACATAAGTGTGTACGGCAAAAATGTAGATTTGCAAAGCAGCCCTGTTCTTTTTTAAACTTAGCAATCAATCTAGATACCTATACGCAATTAGTAGTAGCAAGAAATTAACTCAACAAAAAAATCAATAACAACAGCAGGAGGAGAAAAACTGAAATTGTAATTCCAATCTGTAGTAGTAATACCTAATCAGGGTATGGACCAATTAATGACTACGTTGGAAATGTGAGAAATCTTGTGCCAATCTTCCCCCGTCTCCCTTTCGCACTTTTTTCCCAGCAGAGGAGATCCAATGATTGTGAGATGAGAAAGGGAGGAGGGTAACCCCTCTTCTGGCATGGACTGGAGCTCTGGGCAATAATAAATATGTAATTTTCTTAGAGAGGTGAGTTGTTGAATCCCGTCATTCAGAACTTTCAGATTTTTAAGACCTAATATCGTAAGACATGTAATAGTGGAGGGCAGCATCGTGTCCTCTGGGAAGGATTCCACTTCTTCATTCTTCAAAATTGCAAGTTCTGAAAGAGAAGGGAGTGATTGCAAATTCCATTGCATGCGGCCTGCAATCAGTTTGTTGCAATTACTTACGCAAAGAGATTGCAATTTTGAGGGCAATCCCCCTTCTGGAAACGACTCTACTTCTGGAAGTTCCTCCAATGACAAATCCTCAAGGGAAGGGAGGAGGAAATGCATACGCTCAGGCAACCACTTCAATTTCGTGCATTTACGCAGCGCAAGCTTACTCAAATTTGGGGCAGATAAAGGAAAATCTACGATATTAGGGCAATTGTAGAAAGACAACTCACTCAGATATGTGAAATTCCCGATAGGTCTTTTGTGTACACAAAAGGATTCCGGATTTTTACCGACATCAATTTCTGCTGAGGAAGCGGAACGACCAACACTCTTAACTCCCATCCAATCAGGAAACCTAGTATCCCCATAACCTTCAATCCGGAGAGATTTCATATCTGCATGAGGCTCTAATTTCTCAAGCACGTCTCTTTCATGCTGTGATTCATCAGTATCACCCATCCATATCAAATTCAATTCATCAAGCTGCTTCTTATCCTTCAAATTGACTTCTGCAGCATCTTGAGCATTCACAACATTTTGAAGATTCCAGATACAAAGCTCTCCCTGTAGATGTTGAAGCTTTCCTAACTCTTTAATGCTTGAACCACTCTGTTTTCCGATGAAGAAATCAGTCAATTTTTGGAGCTTTGTAAGTTTACCCATACCTGATGGCATCTCCAACAACTTTGTCAGTCGCATATCAAGATGACACAAGTTGATTAGCCTTTCCATACCAGTTGGAAGCTCAAGGAGATCCAAGCACTCGCTCAAGATTAAGGTTTGCAAATTATACAAATCACTCATAGATTCTGGCAACCTTTTGATTTTTCCACCCCTAAGAGACAAATATTGTAAACGCTTCAAATTACCAATTGAATCAGGCAACTCAACGAGCTCGGTGCAATCATCCAATATTAATGTTTGCAAATTATACAAACAACCCATGGATACAGGCAACCGTTTGATTGTTGTGTCTGAGAGATTTGCATACCGTAAATTCTTCAAATTGCCAATTGAATCAGGTAACCGTTTGATTCCTGCACTTCTTAGACTTGCGTACCGCAAATTCTTCAAATTGTCAATTGAATCGGGCAACTCAACAAGCTCTCTACAGCCTTCCAAGATTAATGATTGCAAATTGTATGCAATACCTTCAACCTCAGACAACTCTTTTATCGATGTCCACGCAAGATTTAGATACCGCAAATGCTTTAACTTTCCCATTGAATAAGATAGCTCAGCTACACTGGAATAGCCAGGCAAGGATAGCACTCGTAGCCGTTTGAGTCTTGGTAATAAATTGTGTATTAGCTTATCTTCATTTAGGTTGCCTTGCCGCCATCTTGGCAATAGTAAGAAAGTGCGCAAAAGTTCAGCTTCATAGATTTCTGCAAATTTTTGAGAGGCGTCATAGTTTGTCCGTACATATGAAAAATGACGAGCCTTTTCTGCTACCGTGTTTGAATCATCATCCTCCAGTACGAAGCAAAATTCTCCGGATACAAATTTGGCTAAATCATGCATGAGGTCGTGCATAACAAACAATGATGGAGCATCACTTGAATACCGTTGAAAAAAAGATCTGGATGCAAGATCATGGAAGAACTCATCACCTACATCTTCAATCACCTCCTCTCCTTTGGGTGGGACAAGAAAACCCCCTGCCATCCATAAACGAATCAATTCATGCTTTTCAAATCGAAAGTCTTTGGGAAATATCGAACAATAAGCAAAGCACTGCTTGAGTTTGGACGGGAGATAATAGTAGCTCAATGTTAGAGCCGGAAGGACAGGATCTTTTGGCGAATTCCACAACTCGCTCTTCAGCACTTTCTCCCATTCTCTGGCATCTCTTTTGGTGCGCAGGAGACCTCCAAGTGCTTTCGCAGCTAAAGGTAGGCCATCGCATTTTCTTACTATTTTTCTGCCAATTTCTACCAAGCCTGGATAAGCACCAGAACTTCCATCTTCAAATGCCTGTTTTGCAAACACCAACCAGCAATCGTCTTCCATTAATTTCTGCATATGATGAGTTGAGACAGTAGATTTGACTAAGGCTACAGTATCATTGCGTGTTGTAACAATAATCTTACTCCCCTCTCTGACAGACTTGAAAGGTATCAATAAAGAGTCCCACGCTTCTTTATTCTCACTCCAAACATCATCTAATACAACCAAAACCTTTTTCCCTGCTGTTTTATTCTCCAGCTCACAATGAAGCTGATTTGCAGTCATGGCCTCGCAAGTAGTTGAACTGGCTGGACTGACTTCCTTCAGAATGTCTTTTGTTAATTTGAGAACATCGAATTCCTCTGAAACACAGACCCATGCCTTGAGATCAAACCGCTCCCGCACTCTGCTATCATTATAGATAAGTTGAGCGAGAGTGGTTTTACCCACCCACCCATACCCACTATGGGGATCACATCTAGTTGCTTGCCATTTTCATCTTCAGAAAGCACCAACTTCATTATGGCTTCCTTTTCACCTTCTCTACCATAAACAGCTGGTTCATCCAACAGAGAAGTTGTTGGCAGTTTTTTTGCTGCTGATGGTTTTTCTCCCATGCCATCTCTCAGTCCAAGAGCATCCTTTTGTTGTATTAAATCATCAAGTCTCTCGAGAACCTCTTCTAACTTACCTTCCATCTCTGCCTTCTCCCTCTCAAATGGATTATGAGAAGATAAAAATTCCAGTACCTGATTTGTGCTGGTCTGAGAGCCAGACACCTCCAGTCGCTGAGCTTCATAAGCAACCTCGTCCAAAAAGTCATCGGCTTCATAAACAGCATCTTTAAGCTCGTCAAGCCACTCTCTCACAAAAGAGTCTGTGATCTGCTTTGATTCAGCATCGTTGAGCACTTTATTAACAGTAATCATCCGCATCTTCAACTTCTTAAGCAGCCTATCGTTGAGTTTTTGGCTTTTGAAGAAGTTGAGAACCTGGCGAGAGGCCATTCTATCGAACAAAACCTGGAGGGTTGCGAACAGAAAAGCTCCTCCTACCAACTCAGCAGCCATGGTTTGGTTTGCACTGTTTACAAAAGGTTGTGGATGTCAAAAAAGAGAAAACTGATGAAGGAAAAGAAACAAAGTAGAGAAGATCGAGAAGAAGAACCAAAAGAGGAGAAATTGTGTTCAGTTTCTACTGTTTTCAAAAGGGTGTGAGTGTTGAAGAGAGAAATGGTGAAGGAAAAACAAATACAGTAAGGTAAAGAAGATGAACTGAAACTGGAGAGAGTCTTTTTTTTTTTTTTTTTGCTGTTTTTAATTTCACAAATCCGGTGAGGTCTGTATTAAATTATTACCTCATGGCATTATTATATAATAATGTAAGGTTTAACATCTTATGAATTTGATTTCTTAAGCTGACTAGAAAAATGTATTGCCACTTGAAGATTAAATATGTAATAATCATTGACACACAAATATTAGATGCCGGATAAAACCAGCAAAGCAATTAATATAAGACGAACTGCTTGAAAAAAAAAAACAATGGGGTCAGTTTCCTAACAACAATTTAAAATTTTTTCATTAGTTCTAAAGTCATATCTTTCATTGGAAGGGTGTAAGTCCTGCTCAAACAAACATGGACTGCAGATG